AAACTTTGTCCAATAAGTTCTTGATCATAAATTTCCTTTAGTATAGGGGAGACCCAGATTTTATGATTCCTGTTCCTATAGTGCATAATCAGTTAAAACAATTTGAAAATCGCCAAAAGAGCTAGATTTTTTTGAAAATAAAATTGACATTGCAATCAAAATTTTCGATTTTTTTGCAAAAGTATATGGATTTATCCAAAAACGGATAGCATTTTTAAAATCAGCGTCCCAAAATTCTTTTGAAATCAGTCAAAACATTAAAAAATAGCGAAAAGAACCCAATTTTTTTATAAAATTTTGAGGTTGCAACCTCATTTAAGATTTTAATATCTTACAGAGGTGTGTAGATTTATCCAAAAAACGTATAATATATTCAAACTCAGCTTCCGCAAAATCTATTAGAATCAGTCAAAACATTTTGAAAATTGCGAAAACAAATCAAATTTTTGATAAATTTCGAGGTTGCACCAAAAATTTTAATGTTTTGCAGAGATGTGTGGATTTATCCAAAAAACGGAAATATTTTCAAAATCAGCGCGCCCAAAATCTAACAGAATCAGTCAAAACTCCGAATAATCTAACTTGAAACATTTTTAATCTAGAATAATGTCGCAATCATATGAACTACACACCTACAAGTTAAAATAAAAACTTCACAAAATAACTACTACATATGAGAAGAATTGTTTACAAGTTTTTCGGATATTCTCAAATTTATTAAAAATATTAAAAATCAGAATTTGGGTAAAATTTTGGGTAAAAATCCAAGTGGTCCAGTAGGAGCTGAGAAATCGTGGATATCGTATCGAAAAAGAATTTCGGGAAAACGCGCTTTAAGTTTTGAGAAGAAATATAGGAGGATTATTAAAAACTTACGTAGAAAAACTAAATAAAGGCTTCAAATTATAGTCACAGATATTTTTACTAAAAATATACAATATATTAAATGATTGCGATTTATTCTGTTTGTCTTTTTATATAATCTCGATTGTTTTATTTAAACTAAAAGCTTAACTGTTTCGACCTTTCATGATTACAGTAGGAGTTCCTTATTCGCGGTTAAAATTTTCGTTATTCGCGGATTCCAACATGTATCGAACCCAAAATCCTTCGTAAATGCTATCATTTTGAACAAAAGAACAAACAACTTTGTCACAAAATCCGTGGATATCTTTGATTATTTCGTTTTGAACAAAACGGCAAAAACTTTGTCAACCTTGGAACGTATTCCCTATAATCCGATATAAAATGCCATTCTGTATTTGCGCGAATAAGGAGGTTTTACTGTATTGTATTCAGGGTATCAACATAAAGGATATAAATGAAAAGCTCGTGCATTTTAGTACGAATCCCAAAAAATAGAATTTCTCAACATACATACTTTCTAAACGAATTAAATGGTTATAATACAATTATATGCACATCATAAAAACAAATTGAATATTATTAAAAATACAGTAGAATCCGATTAGTATGACGCCGACTATATTGACAACCGCTTAATATGACGTAATCGCACGAATTTGGTTTGCATATAAAATTCCTTAAAAAACAGCTGTCTAGTCGGATATATTGACATCGCTTACATTGACATGTCGCTTATAATCACCCATTTTTGCAAAAAAATATGTCCAATTATAATGACCGACATGATTTTATATGATGTGGCCAAGTCTACACAATAGCACCAGGGATTGTTTTTACAATAAAATTATGTAAAGAAATCAATTAAAAATTACTGATAACTTACATTAAAAAAACACATTTGTATGTTTATGGGTAGGGTAGACTAATTATTAATGGTCCACTACGGATATCTCATAAACAAATAAAATTAGATTTTTTGTTAACAATTATATTTGATAGTAGAGGGCAAAAAATGTATAAATTCGTAACCAGCTATCACCTTTATTCTTATGATTTTGCTATCAGAGGATAAGCAGCACATGAGTGCGATAAAAAGGACCAGCTGAACCTTTACTTTGGCAAATGTGTAAGCAATAAAATAGTAAAGTTTTAAAAAAAAGAAATTTTACAAAAGATTAATTGAATAAATTGTTATTCCGGCTCTTCTGATAAATATTTCTGACCAATATACTGTGTTGTCTTTGTAACAAATGTATCCACAGAATTAATTTATTATTCTCTATGATTATTTGGCATTGGTTAAATAATATAGCGTAAAATGCCTTTAAAATTTAATAGAAGAAATTGCATCTGTTCGCCCCCTGGTTGTTCCACTTTACCCCGTATGTGAGGTAAAATGGGTCAGATACCAAATATTTAAAAAATAGTAAAAAATATAATATTTATATAATTAGAAATTATGTACGTATGTATGTAAGTTTTTCTAAACATAGTTCGAAAGATGCTTCTTTGATGTATGTTATGTGTTGTTCATTGGGTTGTGCCCCGCCCTACCCTATGTCAATTTTATTTTATATTAAATTTTAATGTGTCATTTTTATTTTTTTAAAAGTTTGTATAGGCTTTTCTTTTAAATTACTGAAACATGTAACATATTTACACATTAAAAAGTTTTTTTCTTCAGTACGCTTTTAATGACGACCGGTTAGTATGACGAGATTTCGGCGTCCCTTCGATGTCATACTAAGCGGATTCTACTGTATAGCAATAATTCAATTTGAAAGCATACTCTATTAATTCGTAATAATATGTTGTCATTGCCAAACCCATTTATATTAAAGACATCAATAAATTGAATTATACTTGAAGAGAAAAAACAAAAATATTTCAAAACGACTTTCTTTTACTGCCTCAAATGTGTGAACATAATTAACACGATCATGAAATTATCAATTTCGCGAAAAATGTCTTACACGATTTAGCTATAAAACTTATTCCTTATTAATACTAACATTAAGTAAAAGTGTATATGAACTCACCGAGTTATCCGCAACGTGGCCAAGTGGTTAAGAGCTCAACTCGCAAATGCAGAGGTTTCCGGAACGAATCCCGCTCGAAAGCACTACGCAAACTGCATGCAAAAATGAATTTATTTAGACTCGAATAAGTTCAAGAACAAAAAAATGTGCTAGTTTATAAAATAAAACATTTAATAGTAAAAAAAAACTTACCGGAAGAGTATTCTGAAGCAGACCACAGTGACGGCGATATGATTACGACTGATGCGCTGGCCAAAAACTCGGACTTATTTAAATTAAATGACATCATTCGTGCTATTTCGTTTTTATCCGAATTACAGTCGACGTGTTACTGTGCAAAATGATGATTAACTAGCCGTTTACTTATTTCTCGACAAAAATATAACGGCATAGTATTAACCTTAACCTAAGGTTACGTCCTTGCCGACATCTATGCGAGGATCACATCATTGCAACAGTTGAAGATACGTTAAATTTTCAAATATTAATTGAATTTACAAGTGACTCAAGAAAACATATAAATCTTTTATGAAATTATAGATACATTTTTGGTTATCACTTTCCAAATCCTATCTAAACAAAATGTTTTACATAAAACATATTAAACATTCTTTTAAAATTATCTTAATATACTTTTCTTACCAAATTTTGCTATAATATAGCTATACAAAAAAAAACATTTTTGACAGAAAATCCTATGGAAGGCCGATCTAGTTCCGAAACGTCCTCTGCAAAAATTTAATGTTTGGTAATATAAACATAACTAGTGGGGTGGGTGGCATCGTGCCTTAAGGCAAATTGCTGTAACTTCCCGTACCGCAACGAAATGTTCGAGGAATGAATGTTTTCAAATAGATTATTATAAATATTGTAACATTTTCTAATATTCATAAGAATTATATAAACTGAATTGCAAAGTTAAAATTATTTGTTTAAGTTATATTAGAACTTTAGTCAGAATAAAAATAAAATTTTAATTATATTCGATATACAATATATGTATATATATATATATATATATATATATATATATATATACATACAATTTTTTTTCCAAAATCAATTATTTTGTTAAGACAAGCAGAAAGTTCTTTGAATCAGTTAAATCGGACGATTAGTTCTCTCAAAAACTGCCATTTTTTACATATTTAGATCCATATCTTCGAAATGGCTGGGCCTACCTTTGCCAAAAACTAATAAACACTTCTCCCAATCATTACTAATTGAATGTTTTTTAGATCATTCAAATCGGATACTCCGTTCTCTCAAAAAGTCGATTTCTATTTTCTGCATTTTTTGCTCCGTATCTCCGAAACGGCTGGACTTGCCTTTGCCAAAAACTAATCAGCACATCTCTCTATCAATAGGAATCGAATGTTTTTTGAACCATTCAAATCGGTTGATCCGTGCGCCCGAAAACGTGACTGGAAATTTGTATCCATACATACATGCACACACACACACACATCCATTTTTTTCTGAAGTATGCCAAAACGTTCAGAAACCTTCGAAACGTCGAGAAATGTAAAAATTTTCAATTTCGATTTTCTGCCCATTACAATAACTTACCCTACGGGAAGTTAAAAAAGTACTCAATAATTTTCCATTGCACAGACAAATTTGATTATTCAATGTACATCTCTTTGAATGTATCAATGTCTCAATTTACTTCTATTTGATGTACAACTATAAAACAATTCTTCAAAACTGTTATTTTTCTCTTATTGCTAGTAAAATATTTTATTATAACTTATCATCATTTCAGGTGTGTTTCCATCATGAAAGCACAATTTACATTTTATTATTATTATGTGCTTTATTTTTAAATTATCGCGTTCAAACAATATTGATTTCATAAGCCCAACATCCAGCTCTCATATTACAATAAATTCTTGTTAAATAGAAAATGATGTTTTTTTTTTTAATTCATCTATAAAGTCTAATTTTTTATAGATTAGTTATACTGTAAAATAAACCTTTGTCAAGTTGTGAATGACCATATAAACATTTTGATACATATATTTGTACATTGTTAAATACAGTCACTTTAAAAGGCTTACAAATCCTTAAATAAATTACACTAATACATAATTATAACAATTAGTATTGTCTAGTTTATTTAAATTGGCCGGGAGTAGTACCGAACAAGCCTCCACTTTGTTTACTTGCAGCTCTGGAAGGAGCAAATCCTAACATTTTTTGAATATTCTGTCTTATAGACATTGTGCAAAGAATATAGAGGAATATGAAAGAGCACTCGGTATAATCATCACCAGGTAAATTTCTATGACTGAGCCCTTGAATCCATGATATAGGAACAAATGGCAAATGGGCCACAACTCTCCCATCAAATCTGGAAAATTATAAATACTTTCATACTTCATTACTTTCATTTGCACAATCTATATCTTTTACTAGATATTATAGAAACAGTAGTAAGAAATAAAAGAAATATATATATATATATATATATATATATATATATATATATATACATAGCTGGGCACCGTTAATCAAATAGTTAACTTCGTTAATCGTTAATCCGCTACAAAAAAAGTTAGCTTCGTTAAACGTTAAAGCGTTACATTTCTGAAGAATTAACGCAAGTTAACGTTAATCGTTAATCCGTTAATATATGTAAAATTACATTTTCATATCATTGCGTTAGTGAACTTAAAAAACTTATTGGTTTAGGTTCTGGAAGTTAACAGGTTACGAATAAAACAAAATACTTGTATAATTCAAATGTGTAATTTAACCCCTCGCGCGTTTTATGCACACTTCCGTGTGTATAAGGAAAATAGCGCGACGCGCTTTATGCACACACCGTGATAATAACGCTATTGGTCAACTTTTCGTTTTTATGATTGCATATTGTTTTCACAAGAATTTTTAACTTCCCAAAGGAGAAGTTTATGTTTTCATCAAAAATCCGATTCGCTAATTTTATGTTTTCTCGACGTTTCAAGCTATTCTGAATCGAATGAGACCAAATTTGGAAAAAGTATGTGTGTGTGCGTGTATGTGAACAGATTTTTTGCCGTAAATCGACGTTCTCTCAAAACCGGTTCGACCGATTTCAAAAATTTAAAAGTCAATCGATGTATCTCGATGAGAATTATCGTTTGTCGGTTTTGTGCGACGATCTGCCGAGCAGTTTCTTTGCAAACAGCAGAAAAGTGAAAAAAATTTCGTCCACGTTTTAGCCCGCAATTCTGAATCGATTCTGAAAATTCAAAAACCGTTCGAAAGATATTGGTTGAGAATCGTGCTGATTAGTCTTTGGTAAAGATGGGCCGGGCCGTTTTCTTGTAATTAAGTTTAAAAAAAAATACGATAATTTTTATGATTTTATTTTGACGGTAGATATCATAGTCTTCTAGATCATACTGAAATATTACTGCCCTACGACAACTCGTTTAGCTTTAAATATTCGTCAAAGTTTACAAAAATTGGTATCGTTTTTTTGGCATTTGTCAAAATTAGACCTTTCGTTGACGTTTGCTCAAAAATGCCTGAACCGTTTTTAGAAATTTAACAGCCATTCGATGTATCTCAATGAGCACCATATTTTGTCAGTTTTGTGAGACGATCTGCCGAGCCGTTTCTTTGTAATTTAAAAAAGAGTTTTAAACTTTTCGTCCACATTTATTCTCATTCTACCGAATCGATTTTAAGAAATAAAAAACTGTTCGCAAGATATTAGTTGGGAATAATACTGATTAGTTTTAGGTGAAAATCTACCTAACCGTTTCGTTGTATTTAACTGTTGAAAAAAAAATTTAAGCCGATTGTTATGAAACTTTCTTTGGCGATGTATATCATGGCCTTATAGAACTTACTAAAATATTACGGTCTTACGACAAGTAGTTTAATTTTACAAAATCATCAAAATTTGAGAAAACGAGTAGTTTTGTTGACGTTTGTTAAAATTAAAATTAGATGATTTACTTTGTATAACGATAGATTATTTGGTCTTAATGAACGTACTAAACCATTAACGTCCTACGAAAACTGGTTTAATTATAAAAATTATTGATTAGTGAAAATTTGCTTTTAGAAAATACTCCGAGTTAACTTGTTCATTCGTTTTCAATTATGTGTAATAAATCCTCTCGGAATACTTCTAATCACTCATAAATTAATTTGTTTATTAAGTCGATTATTTACACATATCGAGAAGTTCATGTAACTTGCCTCAAGGCTAAATACTAATACCAACTAATTTTCTAAATAAAGGAAAAGAGTTTTTTTTTGCGAAAAATAGGAAACGCGCGACGGGTTAAGCGTCGGGCATAAGGTGCATATTCTTCCCCTTCATGAACATTAACATGTTGAAGTTCTCGTCTGAAAGCGAGGCTCGTTTTAGTGTCAAAATGTCTTTACCCGTGGAAAACAAACGTTCAACTGCAGCGCTTGAGGGTATAGCAATATTGTATTTAATAAATAGATTTATGAATATCTGTTCGCCGAGGAATGCACCATCGTTGAACGAGTCTTTTGATTTTATATCCAGCCACATTCTAACGAGACTTTGCGCTATATTCTCTAAAGAGTTGGAGTTCTTTGGTTTTTCTATAGACTGAGTGACAGAATTGAAAAAGTTTTCCGTCTCGTCATCATCGTTGTTACTCGCATTGCTCCCTCCGCCACTTAAACTATCTCTGTCCTTCGAATTTTCCGCTGCTTCTTGCCGTAAGGCATCTTCTACCTTTCTTCCATGCGTTTTCTTACTGTATCCACTCTACTGCTGTCATACGTTTTCAGCCATATCAACCGGAACTTTGGGTGAAATGCCGCGGCATTCAGGAGTGGTCCAAATCTTGGGGTGCCGTGCAGTAAATACTCGTAGTAGGCATTGGATTAACGATTAACGGACTTCTGGCATTTTAACGGAAGTTAACGTGTCCGTTAACATTTTTAAAAGTTAACTTAAAAGTTAATCCGTTAATCAAAATGTTAACTTCGTTAATTAACGATCAACGGATTAACGAGTTAATGCCCAGCTATGTATATATATATATATATATATATAATATATAAAAGTTCTGTCCTTATCATTCGTAAGAAATAAATATATATAACAACTTACATGCTATTGAACATGCTTAACAGCGCTGTGAATGCAAATCCAATTGCAAACATTGATTTCATTTTCACAAGAGATAAGTCACGGTTATTATTTTTTAGCCTTTCTTCATCACGTTCAATTTTTTTCTTATGTTGCTTATCTAAAGAGTCGCCGTGAGCTTCCTTCCTTCGTTCCACTAAAATAAAAAATAATAATCAATTTTTTATTTGTTCCAATAGAAAATATCAAAGGTAATGTTAAGATTTTTTCTGCTAATAAATTTCAATGTATGGTAAGTTACATATACAGTAAATTACATACTTACATCGTTTACTTTGTTTTTCTACTTCAGTTTTCAGTTTTTGGTATTTTTCTGTTCTGTATACCATGAGCCATGTCAGACCTGAAATTAATTCCATTTAATTACTAGTAGAGGCTGCTTATTAAGTAAACTTAAATTCTTAAGAATATTGTATATGAAATTATATAAATTATGGGCTTTCACACCTTCTCCCAATAGAGCTGTGCAAATGGAAATGAACACTATCAGTAAAGTATCACCCCACATTTTAATAAATAATTTAATTTAGAAGTTTTAAAGCTATTTACATTTGTTCGTACAAATTTATTGTGACATTTGACATGTCATTTTTAGGTTATAAGGCAAATAGGAAATGAGATCATTAAAAGAAACAGGGGTACACAACCTTTTTTTTTAGACGAACGGTATGAGAAGAAACCTTTGTGTTATTTTATATTATATTTTCTTTTCTATTATAATAATTCCATTATTTTATATTCTGTTGATATCTTTGAATATTTCATAAAAATAAAACGACAAAAACTTTGTTTAAAAATTCGTGGATAGATATTATCTAAAGATTAAATTAGCATTTGTTGCTATAAAGACCCCTATAAATGTGTTTGTAATCTATAAACCTTGAATTTTTTCTAATCATTACTATTAATTTAAGCCCAACCTTGCACTACATATTTCTCTATTTACTCAAAAATGCAGAATTTAAAGGATTAGTTATCTAATTAAAAATATAATTTAATTTAATTTATAATAAAAAAATATATTTTTATATTTTATAACTCTATTTACTCATTTAGAAATTTAGAAAGCAGAGTGTATCAAACATTATTATATAGTATATATGAATAATTTAAAAATCTCTTTAATTCAGCAAGGTAAAAGATTCTTAATTGACTATTCCTAATAATCTAATTATCATTCTTAATATATAAATTTGTATGAACTCCCTCATAAACAATGAAAACTTTCTATAAATTATACATTATATATTATTTCAATAAATATGAACAATTTTTGTAATTCTTAATATTACCAACACAGTTAAACTGTTTGCCCTTTTCATAATATTATACAAGTTATCTTATGATATACATTCCAAAGCAAAAATGATAAATCACAAATTAATTTATTCTAATAAAATATAAGGCAAAATCCAATCACAAATTTAAAAATATGAATTCATTAGAAGACACATATCCTTTATATAAAATATAGTTTCATAAAAAGCTGAGTATATAAATTAATGATCAATAATTAACCATTTTTCAGTAAGCTTTTCTACTTGTTTTGTAAGCATGGGGTTGCGTACTCGAAGTTTTACTTCCAATTTGCCTCCAGTTGACTTTCTACCATCAAAAACCTAAACAGAATATAATAATAATTATAATAATACATTAATTATTTTTGGGTGTTTATTATTACTCACTTGAAATGAATCATGAAGCACACATTTAGTCTCTAACGGTTGTAATTTAACATTGACAGTCCCAATTACTGCATCGCTTCTGAAGAAACCACTGAAACAACACCAGCAACTAGACCTAATTTTTAAATATAGTAAGAGCAACTTGATTCAAGCAAATTGGAAGAATAAAGTGCAAAGAATAACCGAACTGTGGTCAATAAAAATAAATTCAAAGTTGAGTATTTATTCCAATTTACTTAAATTGCAACAACAACTTACCGTTTTGCATAAATATCTAATTTAAGATTATGCCTTTTAAAAACCCTTAAACAATGCCTGCTGGTTCTTTGCATGGGTATTGAATAAGTTGCACCATAATCAGGATTATTTGTATCCTTCACTAGAGGTGTATATTCAACAAATGGATTATCCTAAAATTGAAACAATTAAATATAAATAAATTAAAATAAAAATAATAAATATATCTCACCTGTGGAAATGGGAATTCTATTTTAACATAAGTGTCCACTTCTTTAGGATTTGGAACCGTATAATTATAACCTTTGACGATTGTAACTTCAAGATCATTATCACCCAGTTCTGTGCAGCACTGGACTACATTAAAACTTTTTGTTTCATAATGAAATTGTGGAGCTGGTAAATTTTTTCTGCATTTAAATTAATTGTTAGAACAATATATAAATATTAATTGATAAATACATCTGTTAACAACCTTTGAGATAACCTAATTACATCTAAATCTTTTGTAACAGATAATGCCAGTTGTTCAAATCTATTTGTACCAGCAACGTCTCCCATAGCTTTATGATGATCTCTAGTACTGAGACATAATTTTAATTGTCTTGATAATTGTTCCTCTAATCGAGCCAATATATCTGAACCATCATTTTCTCCTTCTGTGCAATCGTTTTCATTAACAAATGCAAAGCTAAAATATGATGAAATAAAGTATTATTTGTGCAAAAAAATATGTAAATAAATCATCATTAAGATACCTATCTTCCAACTGACTTCTTGCTGAATTTGGTATTGGTAATGTTTTCATATCAACTGGTAATCCCCCCAGGGCTGCTTGGATCAAAGGATCAAATCCTTTGGCTGTTCTTAATAATTCTTTTGCTTGCGCTATTTCACCTTTTTGCTTGGCAGCAAGTGCTGCTTGTTTAAACTCTTTTTGCCTCGCAATTAAAAGTTGAGCCTTTAAAAAGACAATATTTTAATTCCATCATATATTGATGGTGAAGATTATTTATTATACCTGTTTTTCAGTATGTGAAGTTGTAGTTTGATTTCCGCTTTTCCTTGCTGGAGGTTTAGGAGAGATTTTTGGCTTGGTTTCTTCTTCTTGGCTTTCACTTGTACTTGGAACTGGTGGTGCAGGTTTAGGCTCCGGTCTAGGAGAAATAGAAGATGCTGGAGCGCTTGGAGCGGTTGCACCACCCTAATTAAAAAAATTAAATTCATACATTGTTTTCTTTTTAATTTAGTATTGTGCAATCAACTTACTGTTGGATTAATTGGTATGGGAGCATAACCGGGTGGTGTTGGCAATTCATCAACAGGTATTGGTTTACCAGCCTTGTGTAGTTTTATAGCCTAATAAATATTTTTTATAAAAACTTGATTAAACTCCATACACATACATATGTATTATATAAAATAAATGTTACATACTTGTTCAAATTGCTTTACAATTCTTCCCATACGTCTTGCCTTACTAGAATTGTTATCTTGCGTTGCAGCATTCATTTGAGCTTTGTATACTTCTAGTCGCTGTTCTAAAGCTTCTAATACTGATGAAGCTTTTATAAGCACTTCTTCTACTTCAGGTTCTTCTTCAGCAGGTGATGGCTCTTGAGAAGCTATCGGGACTGGGCTAACTTAAATAGAAAATGTACACACAATAAATTACACAAAAAAATTGTATACCAAAATGAAGATATATTTTTAGCCATCAGTATATTTATGTTTAAATTATCATTACACTTACTTGGATCTGCAGATTTTTGTGTAAGATTGTCCTCCTTTGGAGGAGACGGTACATCAGAACCTGGTGGTCCAGGCATATTTCTCAGATCAACAACTTCTCCGTTCGTCAAAGCATTTATGACCAAATCAAATTGTTTCACAATTTTTATGTATTTAAAAGCTGTCTGTGAATCACCACTTCTCTTAGCTTCCAATGCAGCCATTTTATATTCATTCTTTCTTGTGGTCAATAATTCAATTTTTGGATCTGTTTCTGGTTCTACTTTGGTAGGTTCTGTTGGAGATAACTCTAAAAATATGAAAAATCAAACTTTGATCAGGACTTATAACATATAACAATATAGAGTATTAATTAATTTTTGTTTATGTAATGAAAGTAAATTGAATAACAACAATTTTTTATATTGCATATCTATATTTGTTAAATATTAAGCCATATAATTGACAATACTAATTATTACAAAATTATCAATTAAAAATCTTTAATACATGTATAAAAGCAAATGCATAATACTCATATTTAAAATAGAAATCATTCATTTCCAAAATATACTATTTATCATTATTTTATAAAAAAATCATAAATTGATATAAAAATAAATTACATATATTAGAAAATTATTTAACAATATATATATTTTAAAATTTTAACTCTAATAAAAAATTTAGGGTATGGAAAAATATATTTGGTAATTCCGATTTGCAATCATTTGAAGCAAAATATGTTAGCCTTTCTTTTTTCAAGTCATGTTAAATTAATCAGTCAAGCGTGCATATAAGATTTTTACAATCTTAACTAAATATTCTACTTTAAGGCAATTTTCTTGTAATAAATCTTTCATCCAAAATTTTTACTCGGTCTCACCATTAGTTGCAGGAGTTTCTTCAGGCGCAGGAGGTTCTTCAGTTGCTGGAGGTTCTTCCTGAGGAGCAGCATTTTCTGCTGGAGCTGGTTTTTCAGGCCTGGCGCCTGTACTTACTTCAGGTGGAATGTCCTCAGGGTTAATACTTTTTCCAGCACGGGCTTGTTTTAAAAGGTCGTTTATAGTTTTATTGCCACGATTAAAACGTCTGGCTCTGCTGGTTTCATTTGCACCCTTAGCTATGGCTTCAGCTTTTTTATACATTTCCAAACGCGCTTCAAGAAGACTAACCATAGCTGTACTTGGATCTGAAGTGGGTATTATAGGAGTAGTATTTTCTGGTTCTTCTTGTACACCTTCATCTTCTCCAGTGATCTTTGATAATTCATTCAACAATGCAGGGTCATCATCATCACCTGTAGAATTAATAAAACTTGATAAAATGAAATTAATGAAAATTTGACCAAAAAACAATACTATGTATATTGATGATATTAATGTATATTATTTGAATACGAGATACTATATATTAATGAGTTATACCTGACAATTCTTCATCAGAGCCAATATCTTTCATACTTTCTGCAATCATTGCATCAAGATCAACAGCCATAGGATCTGGTTTTGGTTTTGGTTTACGTTTTGGCTTTGGATTTGAGCCAGCTGTTATTGCAGCTAACTCTGCTTCAAGATCATCATCATTTTCATCATCATCACTTCCTGCGTCATCGTCCAAATTAGGATCTGGTATATCAAAAAGTCCATACTAAAATATAAAAAAATTCAATAAAGAATAGAATGAAATATATAGACATAGTGTTACAAAAAAATGATTGATATACGTTCACAGAAACTTAATATAAAAAAATTTATGGCATAAAACGAAATTTGAAGGTTTACTTGTTTAAATTCCATTGGATATCTTGGTATATCGTCGTACTTGTATTAAAATTTATTCTTTGAAAAGATTGGCTATTACGCAGCATCATTTTAAATGAATTAATTGGTTTTAATAGGCTAATTGTCTTATAGCTTACATTAAACTGTTGTTAA